ATTTTTAAAAAAGACCCCCCCCCCCTTCCCCCCACATTGAGATCTTTGTTGGGATTAGGTTGCTGGAGTGTGGTAGTAATTGATCGGGAATGTTCGGAATTGATAAGATAGAATTAATCACGTGACTTAGGGATTTTTTATTTTATTTTGCAAAGCAATTTTATTTATCCAAAAAATTAATGTTTTCATAAATAAAGATTTTTATATTTTATATATATATATAAAAGTTTCATAATGTTAATTTCAATTTAGGTAGCTATAAGAAAAGTCAAATATAATACATAATTAAGATCAATTTAACATAGCATAATATGATATGATATAAAATTAACGCCTCAGACAGACAGTAAAAAAAAATATAAACATTTAAATGTTATTTTACAATCACGGGACTATACAATTCTTTAACCAAAATAATACTATGCATTATGCCCTGAATATTTTGCTAATAGAAGACAGAAAAAGTTATGGAAATCTATTTAGCCTAATCTCCAAGCACATTCATTTGGTTAGAATCTTAATCGGAGCTACTTAAAAAATCGCCTCAAATAAGGCTTTTTAACAACATTAGCGTCGCACTTCACTTTCTCTCAAAATTATAAAAATTTTTATTCACTCCCAAATTTATTGAAATTAATTTAATCTACATATATACCATGTCACAGAAAAATTGTCACATTTTGTGAAAAAGTGCGACAAGTCATGGAAGTGTAGTCGAGCTGTCAACTAAATAAGGCCCGGCCTGGTACCCGGCCCGAACGGGCTTCGGGCCGGACCTAATATTTTTTAAAAAAAATTTCGGGTTAGGGCCGGGTCGGCTAAACTATTTTCAAAAAATTTTGGGCCTGGCCGGTCTTGAAAAATTAGGTCCGATGCAGATCACTAATGTATAATATTTTTTTCCAAAGCTTGCTTAACAATTATTATATTTTCATATCTTTGTCTCTCTTTTATTTCTTTCTTTCTTTGCCACCCTAGAATCCATCTCAACATCTTCACGCGATGGGGAGCGGACAGCGATACTGACTAACGGAAGCTCGGGTGACAATGTGACGGGGAATCATGTTTATTTTCGATGATGGATAAATCAGTATAAATCAAAAAAAAAATAAAGGAGAACCCATTAATAGGAAAACGTGAGCTGGGTTTAGACCGACATGAGACAGGCCAGTTTTACCCTACTGGTGACTCATCGCTGCTATTAGTAATCTTTTTCAGTACGAGAGGAACCGCCATTTTTTTTTGATCTTAGGTTGATGTATGAATCATCAACTAAAAAGGGGGATTATTCGGAGGATTCAACCAATCAGCAAATTAAGGATAAGATCCTGACACCCCGTCATTCTTTGACAGGCTGTCTGCTCATATCAAATAATCGTGATATCTTATCATTTTTCGGTGCAAAAAAAGAAAAAATTAAATAAATAATTTATTATTTATATTTTAATAATTTTGAAATGAATAAAAATGTTTTTATAATTAATTAATAGGGAAGAAAATAAATCATAAAAAGTTATGATATAAAACCGAATATAACTATTGTTGTGTTTTTTTTACAATATAAGTTATTTTTGTTTAGAGAAATTTGTATTATTGTACAAAAAAAGAAATATAGTACATACTCGGAAAAAAAATATATATATATTAAAACATAAACGTTTAATTATAACGAAAAAATATTTTTTTTGTGGTTAAAATCTAAATAGAGTTGCCATGCAAAATATATATAAAATTAACAAAAAGGTTTTTAATATAAAACAAATGACTATATTTGATAAACTAGGAGGGAAATGGGAGTGTTTCGAAGAAACATTTGTAGTTCCCCTTTAGGATTTCAAATTGGACTTTTTGTTTAAGAGATAGGGACTCGTTTTTAACCCCTGTCCTTAACGAAATTCTTCTACCCAATTGATTTAAGAACTTTAGGGATTGGGGACCGGGGTTTCCAAGGACGCTAAAAATTAGGGGAATAAATATAAAAGAGTTAGGGAGGAATCTATATTTATTAATCTTATTGGTTTCTTGTAGTTCCAAGGGGTCGGTATTTCCGTTAGCCGGAAAGGAGGTAACACAAGAGACGTCCCAGACAAGTCTTTTGCCGCCGTGCCAAGACGTTAAAGACATGCCGTCAGGGCGCTTACCGTCAGCATTTAGGAGACCCAATGGCTCCAAGCTATTGGGGAAACCGGCCGAAATCAAGGCTTTGCCGATTAACCTATAAAGGTTGTCGTGCCTCAGGAAATGGCCACTGACTTTGAGGCACGAGAAACAATGTCTAGAGAAAGTATCAACCTGTTTGTGACAGGCAGCACAGGTGTCCACAGAAGGGATAAGGCAACCAAGCCTATGGCCAATGGCAGTTTGAAACTCATCGTCTGTGAGTAACGTTTCCTTTTTACCGGAATCGCGTCTAGCCATTCATGGCCGTTAGAGTTTTTTTTTGCGTTTCTGAGCAGTTGAAGGTTAGTTAGCTCAGGATACATACAAAGTTTTTCAAACGAGCATTGAAGCATAGGGACCAGGAAGCTCTTTAGATGACAGGAAATTGGCTGCTCGGAGCCTTGGGTGATTAGAGTAAGCCACTCTTGTTTAGCTGAAGATAGAAGGGGATCGTCCAACTCGATAAGCGAGGAAATAGAATCGGCGAAGGATATTCGAGATGAAAGAAAACACGCAATTGCCATAAGGAAGGGGGTGACAATCCCAGTCCACCCCGGTAAGCGGGCATAGAGGCGAGGGACCAATTGAAATCGGAAAAATTTAAGCCTAAAAGGGATTCGATAAAATGTTTAAATTTTAATTCGAAGACCTTAAGGAGAGTATTGTACTGGAAAACGGTGGAAGATTTAAATAAATGTAAGAATTTAGGTAGAAAAAGACATTTTTTGGTGAGAAAGAAGAACTGATGCTTGGGGAGATGAGGAAGATTCTTGAGTGAATTGGAAAGGGACTGGATCAAATCGTCAAAAGTTTTTTGACAAAAGGAGGTTGAAAAACCGATAGGGGAACCTAAAAGACAGAGTTCCTCGTGCGGAATGATTGTAAAATCTAAGGGAGGAATAAAATCCTTATTGTTGAGGGAGGAAATTTCACACTTTTTCCTATTTAGGGAAAGACCAATTTTCGAGGCTTCCATTTCAACGTACTCTATGGCCGACATAACATTGGATAAAGAACCGCCAAAAGAGCCATCGTCGAGATACCATAAATTAAGGTCTAATTGGAAATTAGACTTTAAATTTTTGATCAAATCATGAATCCCCATAGTAAAGAGCAGGGGGCCTAGAGGATCACCTTGCTGTATCCCCTCTTCGGAGGATATGGAAAATTCCCCGAATTTGAGTAACGAAGGGAATCCATAACAGGAATTAAGGAAATTCCCATATTTTGGGAAATGGTGTAAAAAAGATGGTAAGAATGCCCTCCTATGGATGGTGTTGAAGGCATTTCTGAAGTCTAACTTGCAGAAAACCTTATCGGCCTCAGTATTTATAAAAATACGCGCAACATGTGAGGCCACTTCACACCCACCTCTCACTCCAAATCCTAACTGTGAAGGAAATAAGAAGGAACTGGCCTTAGGCCGAATCCTATTTACAATAGCCTTGGCGACTAAACGACGAAAGAATGACCCTATGGCTATGGGTCTAACGCCGCCATCCGGTTTGGTCAAGGAGACAAGACGGGCGCCAAAAATAATAGGACGAATGCAAAGGGGAACTTCGTGTACGAGGATATTATTGCACAGTTCGGTTAATGCTTTCAACAAAGGGTCGATGAAACCACTATCAGAGCATTGAATTAGCTCCACAAAGAAACCAGGTCTGAAGCCGTCCAACCCACCTGTCGTCCCTTTTTTTAAAGGACTTTAAGCACTTAAGTACTTCGTCACAGGTAAAGGGAATAGGGGAGGAGGCATGCGGGTGGATGTTAAAAGGGGACCCTCGTGGATGTTTTTCAAGAAGTTGTTTAAATATGGTAAGGTTGATAGGTGAAATAGAGTCATCGGAAGACAATATTCGGGCCGCACCGCTAATATCTCCAAGATCTAGTTTTTCGGAGATCAATTTGTGACGGAAGGAGTTGGGGTTTAAAGCGTAAGAAGGAGAAAATTCATCGATAATTGTATTTCCAAAATTGGAAACTTTTTCCTTAATTAAGGCAGATAAGTTATTTATTTTATTTTTGGGTTTAACTAGGACTCGAAAACAAAAACTAACCAGGTCTAACCATAAGGGTAGTGAGGAGAAATCCGAATTCAAATTATTTATAAGTGACGTGAGGAACCTTGAGATAGACTCTCGGGCGGCTATAGGGATCCTAGAAAGAACTGGGGTTTTCATTTAATTCTTTAAATTTTTTGGGTTTCAAAAAATTTTTGCAAAAAAGAAAAAAAGAAAGAAAGAAAAAGAAAGAAAGAAAGAAAAATTATTATGATTTTATATAAAAAAAAATAAAAATAATTTTATTGATTTTAAATTTTAATAATTTTTAACAAAAAAATATTTAAAAATTGACAAAAAGATAAAATAATTTTTATTTTATTTACTTTAAGTAACTATATAAAAAATTCAGACAATAAAACTATATTGTAAATTATGTTTAAAAATCTATAAAAAATTTTTGTTTTTTTAGTTTTCTTTACCTGTCTGTTACCTTGAAGGTAAACTATATTTTTTGTGTAATAAACTTAAATTAAATGCGACATTTAAGAAAATAATAAGAAAGATTACAAAAAAAAAATAGATTAAAATGAAGAAAATTAAGAAAATTCCTATCTGAATAATTATCAGGTACAAAAACCTTAGGCTTTACTTATACCAACCCAAACTAGACTATTTAAACATTTTTTTAAATATTATTTATATTATTATTATTAAATACGAAATAATTATTTTGTTTATTTGTTTATTATAATATAACATTGGGGGAATAAATTTTTATCTTTTTTGAAAAAAAAATAATAAAAATTATATATTTAATAAAATGTCTAGAAAATTTAAAAAAATAAAATAAATTTCCCCCCAAAAAAATTTGGTTGACATTTGAATTTTCAAAAAAAAAAAGAAAAAAATCTTTTTAGATTATTCCAATTGATGAAATTCTCTTCTCTTCATTCCACGAGAACAATTTCCGGTTAAAGATGGGATGCGGATTCTCCAAGAAGGACAATTATAACATAGTTCAAGCACCAGCAGGTTTTTTAATATCTTAAATGTAAAATTTTCTTTGCAGTGTCATCTGACTCAAACGAAGCCTTGTAGAATTATTTTAAAAAAATATTAATATGTTAGAGGCAATGGGTTATTTTTTTTTTAAAAAACTTCAAGTCACTTTTTGAGCGGGTATTTTTAAAGAAAGATCTGATTCTAACCGGAAATGTACTTCCAGCATGTTTGGAATACCTAACCCTAGAAATTTCAGACAAATTCGCTTTTGAACTTAATATAACTTTAAGTCAATTTTTCGAGAGCTTTTTTTTTTTTTTATAAAATTTTTAGAAAAATCTGATTTTATCCGGAAATGGATTGCGGCATGTTTGGAATACCTGATCTTATGAATTGTAGAATTTTTTTTTTTTACCGTTTAAACTTTTGAGTCATTTATTAATTATATGAAAAATCTATGGAAAAAAAACTAATATAAATTATATTAAGTTTCAAAAGTTGTTGATGATAAAATTATCTGGAATTTATAGGGTGGGCATTCCAAACATGCTGCAATCCATTTCCGGATAAAATCAGATTTTTCTAAATTTTTTTTAAAAAAAGTTCTCAAAAAATTGACTTAGTTATATTAAGTTCGAAATTTCATAGCGAATTTGTCTGAAATTTATAGGGTTAGGTATTCCAAACATGCCGGAAGTACATTTCCGGTTAAATTCGATTTTTAAAATTTAAAAAAGTAACAGCATTGGCGGAAAAAAACGCATTTGCCGCTTTATGAATTTTTTTTTAAAAAAACTAAATTAAATCATATTACAAAATTATTTATATTTTTTTTTTTTACTAATTAAAATATTGCCTAAAATATCACCTAATTTCGTAATCATCTTAAACTACTTAATCAATTAATCCCATTTTTTTTATGATAGACCTAAATGTTGCTTGGAGCGAGATAAAGTTATAACCGAGAGAATATGACCGACTGATTCATTTCCGATTTAAGTGATAATTTATAGTTTTAACCCCCATTTTTACGATTATTTTAACTTATTGTTTTAGCTGATTATAATTAGGGTTTTCTCCATTTTCATTGTTCAGAAAGGGGATGGAAGGAAGGAAGGAAGGAAGGAAGGAAAAAGGAAAGTTAATTGAGAGTTTGTTTCGCCATAAAAATCATTGCATTTTTTTTCTCTTTCAATCGGCCTGCAAATTCCGTATTTTATGGGCCTATGGCCAGTCTGCCCTTCTGAAACCCTGGTATAAAAGTCAATGTGAAAAATATATAATTATTACTAATGCTGAGTTCTTCCCAATATTTACGATAATTTTAAAAAAAATTTAAGCGAGATTATGGGTGTGCGAATAAATGTTCGTTATTTATTATTAATTTAATTTTGTATCACGTGTTTTCTAACAGATAACCCATTAGGGCATCATGCAACAGCTGCCGCCCATGACACAAAGTATTTTCACAATTTAAATCGTTTAAATAATAATTATTATAATATACATATATGACCAAGAAATCTGAGGTCTAGTAAAAAAAAATTTAATCCGTAATTTGATCCCGAACATTAAATCGGGTGATTCATTTTATTTGGTATTCGAAAAATTATCGGATACGAATACCAAATAAATTTCCGGTAGATTTTTTAATGAAAACAGCTGACATCGATACTTTTATTCTAGAAAAATATTACGCCGGATCCTGAAGATTTTGCTCACTGATGGCTCATTGGGACATTTATTAGCTAAATCTAGAGGTCCAGACAATATTATTTTTCTGGCTCAACACTAGGTTCTAACACGATCCTTAGTGCCCTAAAAAATAAATTAAAAGGTTTAGAAAATCGATATTATTACTAAACATTGAGAAGTGATATTTCATATTTTATCGGTTATATATCAGAGACCCGAAGAGGTATCATTTGCAAAACCCGGATTTTTTAAATCCGGTCCGAATTTTTTTAAAAATATTTTAATAATTTCCGATTTAAAATATTCGGTTACGACTCGACCCGGCCCGGGTATTTTTTTTTTAAAAGGCCGGGTTTAAAAATTAACATTTTGGGTCGGGCCCAGCCCGGCTAATTTTTTTTGCAGGTCTCAGACATTATCTCCACCCTACAATGGTAATGCGTTGAACATATATTTGCAATTATTATATTTTAAGTGATTTGATTAAATAAAAACACATAATTTGTCAATCTAACAAATATGGTTTTAATTTTTTTCGAACAATCTAAATTGATCCAATTTGCGATTTATATCAGATTTTGACATCTGTCACAAATTTAAATTATTTTCTATAAAAAAAAAATAAAAGACTTAACGGGGTTGACAAAGTCAAATCGTTCTCACCGAAAGTCCAGGAAGACCAGTTAACGGACCAAGGGGACTCTGCGTCTCACCGAAATAAATCTCATTTAAAAACTAGACCTAGTTTTGGATCGCCCAAAGATGGAGATGTGGAAGGGGGCAACGGCGAAACCCGAGAGAAGTCAAATGGTGACTTATCCTCGCTCAAGGAAAATGATGAGGAAAACAAGGCGGCAGGAAAAGAATCCTCGACCCTCGCGGAAGGTCATGGCGACAATTTTCCCGCTAACACATCGAGAAGAAATTCTGCGAGAAGCCGGGGGGAGAAAAAGGAGGGATTCGAGCCAGACTTGGAATTCGACGAAACATTTCCTAATACCGGAAAAACGTTGGAGAAGGACGAAGCGGTTGCGGGCGAGGAAAATGAATCTACGTTAAACATCAACGGGGACGTGGTTAAAGAAAAGGACGAACCTAATTTAGGGGGAAGCGCGGACACCGGAAGTAATTATCCTAACGAGTTTACTCGGGATCCACATCTGGAACAACAAATAGGGCTGGAAGCCAGAAGGATGAGTCTGGACGCTAGAAATGTTCGAGAAAAAGATGATGCCCGTGACGACGCGGACGAGAAAATCGACAACGGCAATTTCCCAGGGAGGGACTATAGTACGAATCTCGTGGAGTAAATACATGATTTATTTGATTATTTATCGAAAAAATAAATAAAAATGTGTTTATAAAAAATAAAAACTCTTTACAATAGATTTAAAAAAGAATAGAAAAGAATAAACTTCTTTTACAAAAAGAAAGAGGGAGAAATGGAAAGAATAAAGAAAAATTTACAAACCCCCCCCCCCCCCCTCAATCCACTCATCCAATTATCATTTTTTTTTTATATTGATGAATTACCTGCTCATTATCGACAAAATAAAAACGTGTTTATAAAAAATAAAAACTCTTTACAATAGATTTAAATAAGAATAGAAAAGAATAAAATTCTTTTACAAAAAGAAAGAGGGAAAAATGGAAAGAATAAAGAAAATTTACAAACACCTCCCCCCCCTCCAATCCACTCATCCAATTATCATTTTTTTTTTATATTGATGAATTACCTGCTCATTATCGACAAAATAAAAACGTGTTTATAAAAAATAAAAACTCTTTACAATAGATTTAAAAAAGAATAGAAAAGAAAGAAATTATTTTTTTTTAGAAGAGTATATAAAAAAAATGATAATTATTTTTAGCGAAAGGTGGAAGCAAAAATCAATAATATTTTTTTTACCTGTATTTTTTCTCTTTTTTAAAAACGACCTTTAAAAAAATAAAGATTTTCTAAATGCCAAAATTGTAATTATATATTCTTCTTTTTAAATAAATATTATTAATATAGATAAATTATTAATTTATAAAAAAAATATAAAATAAATCTAATAAAATAGAATTAAAAAAGGATTGAAAAAATTAATGGAAATTGGAGAATTTTGGAAAAAGAGATAGAAGTGAGAATTAGGTAGATTAATAAAACGTAGGTATAATATCCAAATATAACAGGGGATTGGGGCATGATGGGACATGATAGGATGGTACAGTATTAAAAGGGTAAGAAAAAAGTGAGAATAAAGTAGATTAATAAAGCGAAAATGGTAGATATCTGGGGATGGGGTATGATGGGACATGATAGGATGGTACAGTATTAAAAGGGTGAGAAAAAAGTTTGAATAAGGTAGAATAATAAAGCGTAAAAGTAGATATAATATCCAAATATAACAGGGGATTGGGGCATGATGGGACATGATAGGATGGTACAGTATTAAAAGGGTAAGAAAAAAGTGAGAATAAAGTAGATTAATAAAGCGAAAATGGTAGATATCTGGGGATGGGGTATGATGGGACATGATAGGATGGTACAGTATTAAAAGGGTGAGAAAAAAGTTTGAATAAGGTAGAATAATAAAGCGTAAAAGTAGATATAATATCCAAATATAACAAGGGATTGGGGCATGATGGGACATGATAGGATGGTACAGTATTAAAAGGGTAAGAAAAAAGTGAGAATAAAGTAGATTAATAAAGCGAAAATGGTAGATATCTGGGGATGGGGTATGATGGGACATGATAGGATGGTACAGTATTAAAAGGGTGAGAAAAAAGTTTGAATAAGGTAGAATAATAAAGCGTAAAAGTAGATATAATATCCAAATATAACTGGGAATTGGGGCATGATGGGACATGATAGGATGGTACAGTATTAAAAGGGTAAGAAAAAAGTGAGAATAAAGTAGATTAATAAAGCGAAAATGGTAGATATCTGGGGATGGGGTATGATGGGACATGATAGGATGGTACAGTATTAAAAGGGTGAGAAAAAAGTTTGAATAAGGTAGAATAATAAAGCGTAAAAGTAGATATAATATCCAAATATAACTGGGAATTGGGGCATGATGGGACATGATAGGATGATACAGTATTAAAAGGGTAAGAAAAAAGTGAGAATAAAGTAGATTAATAAAGCGAAAATGGTAGATATCTGGGGATGGGGTATGATGGGACATGATAGGATGGTACAGTATTAAAAGGGTGAGAAAAAAGTTTGAATAAGGTAGAATAATAAAGCGTAAAAGTAGATATAATATCCAAATATAACTGGGAATTGGGGCATGATGGGACATGATAGGATGATACAGTATAAAAAGGGTAAGAAAAAAGTGAAAATAAGGTAGATAATAGAGCATAAAAGGTAGATATAGTACCCAAACACAACTGTGGGATGGGGCATGATGGAACATGGTGGGGTGGTACAGTATAAAAAATGTGTGTATGGGAGGGGGGAGGTAAATTTTGCCTCTCTATCTACTTGGAATAAGGGGATAAATAAATGAGAAAGAAAGGAAATACTTTGACGGAAGGTAGGAAACGCGTTCTTAAAAAAAGGAATGTCTAAATCCGCGCTCATAGCCTTATCGGGAGGTGGCGTTTTTTGTTTTTTAAATAAAAAAGACGATTATTTGGGCAGCGGCGAACTAAATTAATTTTTACGCCTTCATAGAAAATAAGTAACGGTGTGGTTAGGCCAACGACTTACAATAATACCTAAACTGACGACACGTTCGTTAAAAGTGTACACCAATGTAAACAGCTGAGGACCCCATTTTGATTATCCATATCATAATTAACATTTTTTAGACGAGAGGCAAATTTACTCCTATGCCTGACGCAAACTTTATTAAATAATTGTCCGATCCTCGAGATAATAAGGAAGCAAGTTATCAATTTAATAGTAGTTTTTATCACGAGAATAATTACCATATGTGGGTTACCAAGATGGCGGGTCCAGCTGATTTGCATTTCAACGACGTTTTCAAATGCATTATTATGAATACGTCGTCAGTCTAAGTATTATAATATATCATTGGGTTAGGCCCCCCCCCCAATATTTTTCATTTTTTTTTTGTTTTCAAAATTAAAAAAAAATTTAATTTATTTTCCTGGTGAGATAACTTTTTTTCTAAAATTAAATTGATTATGCAAATTTTTTTTTAATATTTAAATTGCAGACGATTTAATTTACGTTTCATAAAAAGAAAAATTAATTTCTATTTAAAAAGGATAAAAATTATCGTCCTGTTATCAAAAAAAAATGATTTTTTTCGAATTTGAAGGTCATAGCAAAAATTTTCTAGAGTCTGAAGTGTGGAAAACATTGTTATTGGATGATCGGAAGGTTCTCGAAATTCGATGCTATTATATGAAATCTGTCACATCTTGTTGAATACAAAAATGATGAAATAATATTCTGTTCCCTAGACTAATCAATCAAATTGTTGTTGTCTATTGTTCATGTTACTCCAATTTCCGGAAATTAAAATCATGAATGTGTTTATTTGCCGATTATCTTAAATATATATTTGATTCTGAAATCCACGTAAGCTCGTTACGAATCGTAACTGGGAGTAATATTCACAAATTTTTATCCCCTGAGAACGGAGAGGGTCTTAAAGCAATTTTGTTTAAAAACTTAATTTATGAATTAAATCAATTAACCATATTATTTATAATTTTGGTCTTAAAATAGACTTATCATTAATATTGTAGTATCTATCATTTTAAAACGATTTGATTGATTAATTAATTTGGCTCAAAAATTTTTAAAAGAATATCTGTATATGATAAATTCCATATTTTTGAGCAGACCAATATTCAACTGTATTCTTGAAGATCAATAAGATAAATTTTAAGGTTTTTATCCGCAAAGTCTCCCAGTTGTAAAATAATTTAATATCCCCTTTTCTTCATTCCATTTAATTATTATTTGATTCTTTTGCATTCAACTTTCTTTTTGCTTTTAAAATTGCCACGAAGACTTACAGCAACAACCGTCTTTATAAATCTATTGTATTTAATATCTATTGTGTCTATGAATTCAAACTATATATTATTTATCATATTTAGTAATTTAAGTTAGACATCCTCTTAAAAAACAGGCATTATAGTAAATTGTAATCTTAGCTTATAATCCACAAAAATTAACATATAACAAATCCGGGCTGGCTTATTAAAAAGGTATGCCAGATCTAATGATAATGCTCAAATTCTCAAGCATATTATATAATTATAAGGCAATATTATAAAATTTCTCAGATAATTTACCCTAAATATTGAAATTTTAAATTTGGATAATAAATTTTTTGTTGCTGTTCAGAAATGCATTCAAAATGCATTATTTGTTTTTTTGAAACGCTGAAACGCGCTATTAGTCATATTATATAATTATCAGGCTATATTATAAAATTTCTCAGATAATTACCCATAAAATTGAAATTTTAAATTGGATAAATATAATTTTCTGTAATTTAAAATAAAATAAATTAAAATGAAATAATATTTTTAAAAAATATATATCCCCCCCCCCTCCTCCACCAAATCAATTAATTAATTTTTTTCTTTAAATAACCCTCAAAATTTTTTTTATTTATTGATAACGATCGAAAACTTCGACAAATTTTTTTAAACTTAACGATCCCTACAAAGTGACCTAATACAGTTTTTTTTTTAAAAATAGAATAATTACGATAATTAAATTATATTCTAATAAATGCTTTGTATTTTTGTATTCTTCGCGGTTGAATTTTAGATATTTCGCCGCGCGAATTCGCGCCAGCTGTGAATTCGAGGCTAAGCCCTCCTTCATATTTAAGCGCGGTTCGCTCAAGCGATAGCGAAAATATCTTCGCTGATTAATTTACGAAAGAAACCGATAATATTTATAAATACGGACGGGGAATCGATAAAATTCGTGCCAGCTGTTTAAGTAATATTAAGAAAAAGTATCGTATTCGTGAGAAAAATCGAACTCCGATCTCGCTAGCGATTAATTTCGCATCGCTAGAGCAAATCGCGCTTACCATAAATAAATGAGGGCATTGGGCTGAATTCCAATAATTCGCATTCGGCCTGGCATTAGATAAAAACCAATTTTATACCTCAATTGTCACCGAGACTCTGGGTAAATCTAGAGGGGAGGGGGGATTCTATCAAATAAATATAAAATTATTTCCCCTCTCGAAGATAAAATTAATTCCAGACAACCCGTAAAACTTGAGATTTTTAACTTGCACTAAAAGATCTTAAGTAAAGTGCCGAATGAGATAGAACACATCTTTAACGTCTAAAAAAACGATTATAATACATATATAAAATTTTCGGAAAAGGGGGAAGGGAAAATTGTCCTAGAGGAAATTTTGATTATAATAAGGTGAATTCCTCGTTGTTAAAGGTTGGAATCTAATAGTGAGACTTGAGTGAGCACGTGCGTTTCGTTATCGCAAAAGGTTGATTTTAAATTGATTGACTGGATTATTGGTGATGATGACTTATAATGTAGTCATAAATCAAGGCCAAAAATTGCAAAAATAATATAACACACGTGAATGGTTAATGTCACTCATTGAGTTTATTTAAAATCATGAAGCCAATTACGATATATAGCTAATTTACAAACTAAATACAACATAGCTAGCTAATTTTGGTTTTAGACTATTTTTTTGTCTAGATTTTAAAACATATTTCAGGATTTATTTAAAATTAAATTTGTTAATTTTTCGTTCGGTTAGAAAGAAAGGGAGAAAGGAACGAAATTTTAAACTTTACAATTTAATATTATTATAAACACACTAATGCAGATTGCCGAAAAGAAATCCTGAAATTAAAACTACCCCGGCAAGCCCTTCCTACAATGACACGTAAAACGAATTTTTCAAAATGAATGAATGAATGTTACAAAAAACTATATTTTATTTTCTTCCCGCCATTTTTTTTTTGCTAAAAAGTAATCTATTCCAAAAGTTTATACATAAATTATATAACATTTCGAGAAATCGAGGTAAACAATTTTGCGAGTGATATGATTGACATCTTTTTGGTCCTTTTAAAGATTTTTTCGTGAATTTTACTCCCGATTTTCCTCGTTGTCTGTTGAGAATCCTTGGGAGGTGTAGAATCATCCTCATCTGCCGCCTTTGCCGTTATTGCTGAAGGGATGAGTAGTGCCATTAAATTATTGATATCTTATAAATTTTTATATAATGCATTTATTAGAGTATGTGTGAATATAAATGATAGTGTATATTGTGGTTGCATCTATCACTCATTATTGGATAGAGAAAGGAAGGAAGGAAGGAAGGAAGGAAGGAAGGAAGGAAGGAAGGAAGGAAGGAAGGAAGGAAGGAAGGAAGGAAGGAAGGAAGGAAGGAAGGAAGGAAGGAAGGAAGGAAGGAAGGAAGGAAGGAAGGAAAGAAAGAAGGAAGAAAGGAAGGAAGAAGATAAATAAATAAAGATAGAAAGAGAGAAAGAAAACCTTTATGAACATTCTGTGCAACGTGAGAGTAATCATGGGATCACGAACCCAAGTTATAAAGTGCTATATAATATCTCAGTCATTTATTTATTTTTCGTCATCATGATATTTATAAAAAATTAATAATTGGGAATACAAAAACTAAGTTAAAATTAAAGTAAATATATAACTCAAAAAATGGAGGAAAATGAAGAAAAAATAAATAATAATTCAGAAAAAAAATTAATTATAATAGATTGGAAAAAATATAAAATTAAATATAAACGGGAAATACAGAATTGGAAAAATTCAAAAATATCATAAACTATACTCCAGGAAAAATAAGAATAATATACAAAAAGGATAAGAAATGCATAATTATCCGCATTTTAATTAATTTTCAATAAAAAATAAAAATGGCCGATTCAATAAATATGATTATAAGAGGTTCCTTTTATAAAATGTGACGTAATAGCGCGTACAAATTGAGCGTTCGCGTTTTGTTGTAATTTATTGATTATGAAAAAAAACGTAACGCGTCCATTTGTTTAAAATTGAAGGTTGTCTTTTTTTTATTAATATCCGTCTTTTCGAAATTTTAAATAAGTTCTAATGAAAATTATATTATCGTCTGCCTTTTTATTTTCTTTAATTTCTAAATAAATATATTCTTTTTTTAAGGATTATAAGTAAGTTATTTATATTTACATTTTATGTAATATTTTCAAAATGGAGAATAAAAAAAAGTAATGAAAATATAAGCTAGACTGCTTGCGTTTGTTTAAAATGGTTGCTAACGCCAAACGATAATTTTTTCCCAATTTGAACGATGCCATTTGGCATGCATTATTGGCTTTTTGCAACGCGTCATTTGAAACGCTCAATTTGTGCGGGGACTATAAAAGATAATGAAATTCTCAAGAAAAAAATAATAAATTATAAAGTATATATTATACAAAATTATAAAGATGTTCATAAAGAGATCAAAAAAAAAATATTCTGCGAATATTTGTTCAAACCAACAATATAACAACTACCCTCGATAATCGTTAGAATACAGATACAATCAACTTTCTGAGACATTTATTCAACCAACATTTCCCCGAACACAGTCAACTTCTGGGAATATTTATTCAACTAGCATACACAACCATCCCAGATAACGGTAAAATTTGAACACATTATAAACTTTTGAAATATTGATTTCAATCAACATTTCACAATTCTGATAAATGTAAATATATTAACACAATCAACTTCTGAACTTCTGAGATATTTATTTCAATCAACATTTACATCTATCCCCCAATAATCTTAAAATATGAACACAATATAAACTCCTGACATATTGATTTCAACCAACATACACATTTATTCCTGATAAATGTAAAATATTAGCACAATCAAATTCTGGGATATTTATTCAATCAACATTCACATCTACCCCCTGATAACCGCAAAATACTAACACAATCAAAAAATATTGATTTCACTAACATTCACAAATATTCCTGATAAATGTAAAATACTAACATAATCAACTTCTGAGATATTTATTCAACCAACATTCACATCAACCCCCCTGATAACCGCAAAATACTAACACAATCAACTTCTGAAATATTTATTTCACCGCCATAACCATTATTCCTATTTTCAATTTCATTATAATCTTTTTTAATTCTTTTTTTTTAAAAAATTATATCCAATTTATAAATAACATTATGATTTCATTTTTTAATTAACATTTTATAATTTTTAAGTAAATTTGTTTTCATTTATTTTTCTTCCAATATTTTTTTGTAGGAACCTCTTGTAATTATTTATTAATTAGTACCTCATTTAAATTTAAATTTTATAAATAAAAATGTTATATATTTTTTAAAAATATCAATAAAAATAAAGTTATTTTCCACGTTAAAAAATAAATATTTTCTCATTTATATTGAAATTATTGCTAATACACAATGTTCTTATAGGTTTAAAATAATCTTTCTTTCTTTCTTTCTTTCTTTCTTTCTTTCTTTCTTTCTTTCTTTCTTTCTTTCTTTCTTTCTTTCTTTCTTTCTTTCTTTCTTTCTTTCTTTCTTTCTTTCTTTCTTTCTTTCTTTCTTTCTTTCTTTCTTTCTTTCTTTCTTTCTTTCTTTCTTTCTTTCTTTCTTTCTTTCTTTCTTTCTTTCTTTCTTTCTTTCTTTCTTTCTTTCTTTCTTTCTTTCTTTCTTTCTTTCTTTCTTTCTTCTTTCTTTCTTTCTTTCTTTCTTTTTTTTCTTTCTTTTCTCTATGCAATAATGAGTAATAGATAGATACAACGACTATGTTCTCAAGAGTTAATCATTGAGACTTATGGTAAAAATATAAATATAAAAAAAAGAAGGAAAAAATTTTGGGCCTAGAATAAAATTAGCTTTTTGTAAATTATATAAATGATATACACTCAAAGATGAAAAAAAAAGAAAAAGGAAGAAGGAAGGAAGATGGTAAATCTTATGAGTGTATAATAGCGGTTAGTGTTGTCAAACGGCCCGATTTGAGCCGGTTTTTTAAAAACGGTTAACTCAATATATTATTCAGAAAAAATAATACGCAAGTCTGAATATTTTGCTCATAGATCGCACAAAGGTTTGGACATCTGTTGCCGAATTCTCAAGGCCATAGGCAATATATTTCTGGCCAGTATATGGAGTCAGCCGTATTTAAAATCGGCTCAAATTTAGCCGATTAACAACACTAATAGCGGCTATACACTCTTAAGTTTTTTTTAGCATATTTAATGACCTTTATTTATGTTTATTTTCTAAAAAGCAAGTAACATATTTTGTGATGAAAAATAATCTCTAAGAGAAATCAGTCCCAGATTTAGCCATTTATCCCTTTAAATATTTTTTTTACTCCCTTACCCAGCAGGAGCTTACTCTGTGCACCCCCTGTGGAAGATATAGGAAGTCATATGGCTTAACCGGGTCAGGTAGACACTTTAAAACGAGTTATTGAATTAATTTGTAGCTTTCTAATCTATTTTTTTTGATTCCAACTTTCCAGTCTAACCACTTAGGACAGTTGCATTAAAAATAGGTTGGAGCTATAAAAAAAAGCATGTTTATAAATAACAGCCTAGACCGTTATTTTTAACCGAACTTAAACCCTCTAACACATGTTCGTTACTGTTTGGTTCTCTAATGGAAAAGTGCGAATATTAAATCTATTTATGTTAAAAAAAAACCGAGGTAGGCTTGATTCAGCTGATCTAGCGAAATGGCTACAGAGTTTTGGTAAGCAAAAATAATCTCCTCCAAGCTAGAACCGTCACTCATCCTGTTCAGCACAATTTCTAACCTTCCCTCAACGGACTCCGATCTCCGTTTAGACAATTCGGCCAGAACCCGGTTATCTTTGACGTCCTTGAAGTCGTCAATCAAATCATCCCCAATTTTATAGATTTTGAACTCATTCATCATTTTCACACCTATTCCGCAGCCCACATTTTCTTGAGCATCATTATGAAATTAAAAAAAAACATCTGTTACGTTAAGAAATATATTCCCGAGGAACATCGGGTGTGGGGGGAATACATAGTTTTTTTGTATATTTAAGTCTATAATAGGGTTAAGATTAAATTATATCGTGTAATATATAAATTATCTCTAATTTTCTTAATATTCCTTCATTCTTTATGAGTAAAGATTGCTTTAAATTGCCGTTCATTTAGTAATAAGGGATGGTTGGAGTGGGGGGAAGGGTTTATTTCTAAAAGATTTCTTCACTCAGGATTCTGAAAGAAAAAAATAGGAAAATATGAATGGCAAAATTAATCACTTTCTAGATCATCATTAGTCTCATCATCTTTTTGATTGAGTTCAAAGAGGGTCTGTTGTTTAGTTAATTCGCCTTTCAATCTAAAAACATTTAAGAAATAATATAAAATAATATATAATATAATATTTTTCAAAAAAATATTTATAATTTAAAGAATAGGGATATATATATATTGTTAGCATCAAAGTGTTATTTTTTCAACTTTAAACTATTTTTTAAGCGCGTTTTTTTTAAATTTAAAAAATCTGATAATACCGGAAATATATGCCTTCCTTCATGTTTGGAATTACCTACCCTATGAATTTCTAACAATTTTTCAGTGAACTTTTAAACTTAATATAATTTGTGTTTAAATTTCTCATAATTTATATTTAAAAAAAATAGAAAAAAAATTAGTTTTGTAAAAAGACAAAATAAATTTAAAAAATAGAAAAAAATAATTAAAATAGACGAAGTATAAATTAAAAAAAATATATCATTTTTTTAAAAAAACTCTCATCTAAAAAAAACCAAATTTTCTTTTCATTTTTTTGTAAGGCATAAATGCGTTAAGATACGAGTGTCCTAAAGTAATCAAAAATGTAAAATTGAAAGAGTAGATAATAGTGGGGGGAAAACTGGAAGAAATTACAAATAAAAATAAACATATGTTATACTTTAAATTTTCTCTCATCAACTTGGAGTTCATCTCCAACAACAGCTGGTCCATCTTGAGGCGACCCGCATTTCTACGAATCAAATCGGCCGTTTGATTGATGTGAGTTTGCAGCTTGACTTGACAAATATCTCTAGACAGTTTGGCGTTGGAAGAGTGTTGAATGAGCTCGCATTCGTTTATTTCCTTCCGTTTTAACTGATCGATTAAACTTTGCACGCATTCGTTTAAGGTTGAGATCCGAGCCTTAAGTTCTCTTATTTGTTCCTCGCGAATCTTAACCTTATCGTAAAACTCCTCCTCTTTCCTTCGATAATCCTTTTCCAGCTCCACCTTGCACTCTAGCCGAGCTCGGTCATACATATCCTCCATAACGTTTTTCTGCCATTGCCCCAAGGTGATACCCTCTAAGCATTTATCGTCACCTCTCTTTCGGTTATTAGTGTTAGGAAGTTCGTTCAAACTTAGGAGTGGCTCAATTTTATCCATAATTTTTTTGATGGTGCCAACTATATGGTAGTCGCTTCTGCCATATCTAATGGCCAGTTTAATATCTTTCATACTTTCCTGGTGGAAGATAATCAGTTTGGAAATATCTTCCAGTCTTTTGTTATTGAGAGTAGTGGTAGACGAGACATTTACTGGTTCATTATTAGTATTACGACTTTTATAATCGTTAGAATTGTTGATTGACGTTATGGCGCTCGACGAAACGTTACGCTTCAATTTTGAATTGACATGTATATCAGACATTCGTTAAACTCGGCTAACGCGTTACAAATTTTATAAAAAAAATTTTTTTTAAATAATTGTGAACATAAAAATTAAATAATATATTAAAATAAACATTAAAAAAATTTGAAGAAAAAAAATTAAACGTTTTTTTCAAAACATAATAACTTTCGATAAATTTATAATTTTCGAAGTTCTAATAATTTATAAAAAAAAATTTTTCATTATAACATAAGGCAAAGAACATAAAGAATAGAAAGAATAGAGAGAATAGAAAGAATAGAAAGAAAGAAAGAAAGAAAGAAAGAAAGAAAGAAAGAAGAGAATTTAAACTTATCTTGCGCTATTTAAAAAATAATATTCGCGGGGTTTTAACTTAGAGGCTCAAAACCGTGCCCGCCTGGTCGGACTTGCATTTTTACCGGTTGGGCAAGAACTTCGCGCATTTATTTTTTTAAAAGTCTTAGGTAAATGTACATGTTTCTCTACTTTATGGAAAAAAAATCCATTATAACAAAATTAATTTTCAAAACCGGTCGAAAACCGGTTTCAAATATGATTCGCTGTTGGATCCTTCGCATGTTTTAAAATTCCTTCTGCATGATAAAATATATTAACGCCTGACAAATTATAAAATGTACCACTGAAGGCCGAAACAGGGAATTTTTGGCGGGAGCGGGGAATTGCACGAAGACTTTCCCATCCCAGAAAATGCGGATAATTTTCTAAGCAAGGTTCTGACGAAAAGCCTTTACGACAAATACCGAAACGTCGTTACGAAATCGGGTTACTCCTTGGATCAATGCGTTCAGCCGTCCATAGATTATCCCAAGGCGTTGGACGACAGGATTCCTAGTAAAGAAACGATATTTTATTTTTAGTTTATTTAACATCTCTTCGAGTAAAATATTTATATATAATCGAATGATTTTACTGAGGGATGTTCTTTCTTTTCGAAAGAAAGAAAGAAAGAAAGAAAGAAAGAAAGAAAGAAAGAAAGAAAGAAAGAAAGAAAGAACTCTTCTCTTCTCTTCTCTTCTCTTCTCTTCTCTTCTCTTCTCTTCTCTTCTCTTCTCTTCTCTTCTCTTCTTCTCTTCTCTTCTCTTCTCTTCTCTTCTCTTCTCTTCTCTTCTCTTCTCTTCTCTTCTCTTCTCTTCTCTTCTCTTCTCTTCTCTTCTCTTCTTGTCTAAACAATGCAAATAATATATAAAAAACAAAACAAAAATCATATTTTGTGTTTTTTTTCAAACATAAAGAAAAATAGGGGAAAAAACAGGTTTAAATATTATAAAAACAATCAAAAAAAACTACCCACTAATAACGATGGATAATTGTAAAACAGTGAAAATAAAAAATGTTTAGTAGTTTTTAGTGCTGTAACGCGTTACATAAAAACAGTAACTCGTTACTTTTTTGAAAAAAGGAGTGCGTTACCATTACTCGTTACCTTGTAAAAAAGTAACGTGTTACACGTTACTTAAACAAAATACTAAATATTATTATTTTCTCCTTAGGTAATAAAAAATAAAATCGTAACAGAAATAATATATATAAGATAAGGTTTAGTACTCAACACCGCTTTGACTGTGCGCTTGCGCTAAACACACGCTAGATTGGCGCAGAGGACGAGAGGGAAAAATTTTAATATGCGGGAATTTATCAAAAAATATTTAAAGAAATGATCTATACATATCAAAAAAAAAATCTTTATTAGATCTTCTTCATAAAAATCATTTATTCAGATCCTATTATAAATATTTTATTTTTCCTTTTATTACAATTTAATCTCAAATTTATATTTCATTTACTTTCATACGTTTTTTTATTGTTCAGATTTAAACCTGCTGGACACCGAGGTTAAGCTATTTGAATTAGGGACATAATCTAACACTTTACAAAGTGAAAAACTTAGTTGTTAATTTTTCTATATTTGTTAACTGTAGCGATTACCTTAGAATGACTTTATGATAATATATTTTTTTTCTTTTTAGCATTCACTTTTTCTGGTGGTAAGCTCCTTCAATATCACTCTCCACTTTATGTTATTCATGCTATCTATCTCTTTTATCTAATTTTTATTTATTGATATTGGCTCTAACTTTATTGCCCTATTGAAGTCTTGGCCTTCCTCTTTTACGTTTGCCTATCACGTCCAAACTCTTAACCTTATTTCCTTCTCATTGTGTGCCCATACCACCTAAGTCTGTTTGCCATTATCTTAGTCTTAATAGGCACAACCTTTAAACTTCCCAGTATTCTTGTACTTCGCACCTTATCCTTTCTGATACCCCAGCAATCATCCTCAACATTCTCATCTCCATAGTTTGTAGACCTCTCTCGTCTGATTCTTTGGATGGCCATGTTTCCGAACTATATAGAATAGTTGGCTGTACTATGGAACTGTAAATTTTTCCCTTTAATTTATTTGGGATTCTCTTGTCAAAGAGCACTCCAGATAAAGATCTCCACTTTAACCACCCTTGATTAATTTTACTCTTTATCTCTTTTTCACTGGTATAAATAACTCCACACAGCAAAAGAGTGGGGTGACCAGGAAAGAATTGAATCATTCTTCATCTGTAAAAAAAAAAATAAATAATTAAGTATACTTTTTGGCACCAACTTTTTAATATATGAGAAAATTTAATTAACGTAGTAATTAGGATATTGATTAAATATTGATTAGATTAACAATTTTGTAACTGTATAAAAATTCAACAACAAAAAAAAATATAATAAATAAACATTAAAAAAAAGGAAGAAATATTGGTGGTTGGATCTGAATTTAAGAAGAAAAAAAAACTCGGTTTAAATTAATTATTTATAAAATTTTAATAAATAAATTATAAAATTTAAATAAATAAATTGTAAAATTTTAACAAAAAATATGAAATTAGAAAAGCCTTACATGTTACCTATTTTTGAACAAGTAACGAGTAACGTTCCTTTTCCTCTAAATAAGGTAACGCCGTAAGTAACGACGTTACTCTGATCGGTGATACTTTATAGCACTAGTACACTATGCGGGAAATAGCATGTTAATAAAAAATATAGTAGATTATTAATATTCCATATATTTTTTTTTGTTATGGTCTTTAAAGTGGTTATTAAGCATTCTATGTTAATAATATTAGGTCTATGAACATAAACATATATGATCATTTTTTAAGTATAAAAAAATGATATTTTTAAGTAAAGAAATAAATATTTTTAAGTAAATAAAATTAAATTTTTAAGTAAAGAAATAAATATTTTTAAGTAAAGAAATAAATATTATAAATGATATTTTTAAGTAAAAAAATGATATTTTTAAGTTAAAAAACAATGATAATTGATATTCCTTTTATAAAATAAATAAATAAATTTCAATGATATGAGTTTCCTAAATAAAAAATTTAGCAGTGAGTTAAATTAAATGACAATATATGTTAACTATAGATATATTGGCTTTCGAGGCTGATTGTTACTACGCATTTTCGGACGTGTTCGACCCTCTCATCAAATGTTACCAACCTAATTATCGGCCTAATTTGGACAACAGACCTAACCTCAACCCTACGCCTTTGTTGGCCCTCGAGGATATTGATAACGAGGGATTCGAAGGAACCAGAATATCCGTTTCGCGTAATATTACTGGATTTCCCTTCCCACCCGGATGCAACCGGATGCAGAGAAGACAGATAGAAAGTATAGTTTGCCATTCCTTGAACGCTATTGGAGACCCATTCAAAGGTATATATGACTCCTTAGTAAATATTCTTACATACGCTTTGAATATTTAAATATGCGTTTTGCTGAAGGGGGGAAGGATGGAAGGAAGGAAGGAAGGACGAAAGAAAGAAAGGAGAGAAGGAAGGAATGGTTCTGATATATGTATGTAAGTGGGCAAATATTATAACCATTATAAACATAACGGTATAGGTGTTTATTACTCTATAACGGACATGAGCGAAGAAGCAAAGGAAAATTTTTTCGATCTCGATATCTCAATCGACAAACCAATTCCGGTGTATGATAAATGCCAGATTTCCACAGATTGGCCAGAAGCTAGGGGTCTTTGGCTGAGTCAAGATAAATCGATTGTAATCTATGTCAACGATGTCGATCATATTAAATTCGTCGCCATAAAGCATAGTAAATTTTATAATTCGTTTAATTGACGTTTAAATGATTTATACCAGTCATTCATTACATTTTTATTATATATATCGACTTCTTACATTTTAGAGGAAAGTCTGCACGACATATTTTCAAAACTTTGCGGTATGGTGGCACTTTTGGAAAATTTTTTGCTGGAGATGGGCCATTGCTACGTGTGGAGTTTTTCCAAGGGCTATTTGGTATCCAATCCTTTTTACGTCGGGACTACTTTGGTTTGCGAGACCCTGATATACCAGGACAAATTTTCTGACATGGAATTGGAAGATTTTAAATCGCTTTACATTTCTAACTTGGGGAAGGACCAATGCAAATTGATATTCGACAATTTCAGCAACAAGATAAGAGTTCAGAGTTTCCCAGTATACCCCGTGTCGGAGTTGGAACAAATATTCCATTTCTACAAATATTTAGCACAAATATCAAACAAGGTTTTATTTAAAAAAAAAAAATATATATATGTTAGCAGCGATGCTTTTTTTTTGTTTAAAACTTTAAATCGTTTTTGGGCGCGAACCGGAAATGAATTCTAGCACGTCTAGAATACCCTAATCTTAGGAATCGTAGAAAATTTTACCGTGAAGTATTGAATCATTTAGAATTTACGTGAAAAAAATCTATGGGGAAAACTAATATAAATTATAATTAAGTTCAAATGTCTTAGGGTAAAATTATCTGAAATTCTTAGGGCTTCTTAACATGATAGAATATATTTCCTGTAAAATCCCATTTAAAAATATATTGGCGGGAAAAATTGATTGGCGGGAAAAATCCATTGACGCTATGTACATCATATATAAATATATTTACAATTTTAAAAATAAGAGAAATAATAAGAATAATAATGTTATCTGATAATATTATTACCGATAATTAACGCATCCTTACTACATACAAAATCGATGTGGTAGCTTTATACCGAAAAATTATTACTTTTTCATGAATTCACGTTCGGTCCAAGGCGTGACATTGGCTACCGATAATCGTTTCTTATATTTGGGGTAACGGAAGGGGGGAGGACTGGGAGGCAGCAGTATAATGGTAAAATTAGTAATTTGACAAATCTTGCAAAGATAAGATTCTTCGTCACGTCTCCTTTGATTACATTTTAAAAAAAAACTATATATGTTTAAGGAAATGTGGTACAACTTGATTACATAAGTAGCACAATGACATTTAATAATACCTAGACTGGCGACGCGTTCATAACAATGCACTTGAAAGCGTCGTTGAATGCAAATCAGCTGGAATCGCCATTTTGGTAACCCATATAGGTAATTATTCTCATGTTTAAAAAACTACCATTAAATTGATAACTCGCTTCCTCATTATCTCGATAATCAGGCATTTCTTTAATAAGGTTTGCATCAGACAAAGGAATGCGATAAAATTTTTAATATATGATACGGGTAACCAAAATGGCGTCCTCAGCTGTTTTTCAATTGATGGTACACTTTTAACGAATGCATCGTCAGTCTAGGTATTATTATATGTCACATTGATCTAACACGAGTCTTGGTTAACAAGATTTAAAAAGATTTTTACATGTGTAGTGTTGATAAATCACCTAACATGGACCATCTCTATTGTGTCTTTTTCAAGCTAGCTTCTAAGTTAAGCCTCAACTTGAAGATTGAAAAGAATATTTCTGGATAAAAATATGGCTAGGGCTGATTTATGGTTAGCTAAGGATAGGTAGTTTAGCAACACTATACATGTGTATAGTGTAGTTAGGTTTATTAAACAACTTTATATATATTATCTAAAATATTTCAAAAAAGGGGCTTTTTTCTAATTATATTATAAATTAAATATATCATCATAATATTAATCAATTATATTTACAAATTAAAAATGATTTCCAATTTTAAAGTTTGTGATTCCTTTGTGTTATGATTAATTATAGATAGTGCCTTAAGGTAGTACCTATCAAATTTATCATTTGTTTATTTTTTTTTCATTTGGAGAGGTACTACCAAATTTTTTTTTCTCGAAAAATCGTGATTTTTTGGAAAGCATCTGTAGCCTAGTCGGCAAGAGCGTCGCTTACCTATCCGATGGTTATGGGTTCGAATCCCAGCAAAGATGACTCGGCAGTATCTATAATTAATTTTGTGTTATCACTTTAACACAGTTTAAATATTTCACAAATTAGGATATTATTATATAATGATCTAAAAAAAATTAATCAAAAGTGATACTTATTAATAATTAATTGTTTTGAAAAAAAAACCACAAGGATATACCCTTGATAGCAGATAACTTCATTCAACTACCGCCTGGGGAGAATAACGTAGTTTTTCCATTGTTCACGAAGCAGAAAAACGATATTTCCAAAGTTCTGACACCAGACAAATACATAACCGCCATAAAAAAAGATACTTCGGGAGAGGATAACACTTCAGATTTCACCGATATGATATGTTTCGGCGTTAAAGACGTAGATAATAACTCCTTTTACACTGATGGCTACGTATGCAAAAATGTCGAATCATACAACAAATATGATTTCATAGTCAAGGACACCGTACAAGTAGACGAAACCACTCAAAGTAATTTCTGGAAAAAACTCGATAATTTTTCGACTTTCGACAATATCAAGTTCCCTTTTGACGACTTCGTATCTGACTGTTTCGTCATGTCAATCTTAAACATGTCCGATTATAATTTCACTCCATTTATGGAGAAGAGCGAAATCAATGAACCTCTGAAAATATCTAAGGAGATCCTGCAAACGACTATTTCACCCAAATTCGCTGGAACATTTTGCGAATTAGCCGATAACCCCGTGCAGCAAGGAGTCGTAGAAGCTAAAATAAAATCCTTGCTTTATCCTTCCTGGGATGCCTCCAAATTTTTTTTCAGGAATTGGCCCACCGGAAGGGCGTTTTGGATATCCGAAGATAGATCCATGCTATGTTGGATCAACGAGACTGACCACGTCAAATACTTCGCATTCAATTGCAACAAGGGTATCTTCAAGCTCTGGGAAAGGTACCAAATCTTCATGAACGCTTTCCAAGAAGGTCTTAACACCGTTCACGTTAAAACTACAACACTGTCTTCCTTCCCTTCCCTTTCTAACAAACAATACCACGTAGGAGCCGTCATCAATTCCAGAAACAAAAATTTGACTTACCTCAAGAATTTGATGTTCTTAACCGGGTTTCAAATAGTCAATTTGAGAATGAATGAGACCCTAGTAGAGATGTGGGTCATACAAAATCCCTCATCTTGTAACGCCAGTAGTCAGAATAGTATTGTTAATGATGAAATCGAACCGGAAACGGATCTCTTCCAATGCCAAATGAATAGCCTGATGACCAAAATCTCTTACCTTCGTTTCTTGATTAAGCATAGCTTCGAGGATAATAACGTGTTAGACGATTCATTTATGGATCTTAAGATTATGGCGGGCAAGGTCGAAATTCCGCGGGAAGATAGTCAAATCATAAAATCTATCGTTTCCAAAAACTTCGACAATTTTCCCGATTTCCGCTGTAAATATACGGCCATATCGCGTTTATTGACGCCTGAGGTTTATAAAAACCTCGAAGAGTTCAGGTCTTCCAATGGAATCAGCTTAGACGATTGCATCCAAGTCGGAGTTGATAATCAGGGCCGACATTTTGTTGGAATGATAGCCCTCGACGAAGAATGCTATGACTTGTACGGCGATCTCATGGACGCCATAGTGCAGGAGTGTAGCAAGGACCGTGTTGTTAAACACGTTTATGGTGATATCGCTTACTTCCCAGAAGTCAGTGAGGATTTGAATGCTGACTACGTTTTCTTCCTGGAGTTTTCTGTAATAAGGAACTTGTACGGTTTCCCTTTAGTAGGTGGATGCAGGGATATATCTCAATTAAAACACGTTTACCAGATCTTGAAGCGTTCCCTGACATCAAAGGAAATGAAACCCACCCTAGAATTTACCGATTTCACTTCCGTTTCTGAGGAAGTAGAAACAAATCTAATCAACGAATACTATAATGAGGATGATTCTCTTATACACTTTTGCCCGCAGCTAAAACGGTATTGGCCCAGGTAATATCAACTATTTTAAAATATTTCCTATAACATTATATTTTCCATTTTGTTAAAATAGATACAGAGCAAAATGTGCGATTCCTAGCTCCTATAGTGACGTTAGTGATATAACGGCTTTTATAAACGTGCAAGACCATCTACAGTGCTTCAAATATTTCGATTGTCAGGACGTGTGGAAACAATTCAAGAATCTCTACCAATCTTTAAACGCTTTGGAGAGGGGCATTTTGGATAGTACCGAGGGCAAGGTACATTTCATGAAACACGAGAGATACGGTTATATTACTTGTTGCCCTTCCGACCTAGGCGCTGGCCTCCAGATAAAGATCCGCCTCAAGCTCGCAAACATTTTGAAAAGCAACGATAGCACCGATAACGGCGGGGGTGACTACGAGGGTAAAGAAAAGAATACCAGAAATAAAAATATGGTCAATAAGATTATCAAACCCACCGTGAATCAGTACAATCTTAGAATAACCTTTTGGGACGATCAAATCCTCGAACTGACCAATAGGTCTTGCTTCGGTTATTCCGAAGTGGAGATATTCCAACAGATCATAGATTGCACGAAGGATTTGATCAGGAAGGAGATCGAGATGGGACCCGTGCTGGATAATGGGAACGTGCTGGAAAACGGGGAAGACGTTTCCGATGATTCGGAAGTCAATAATATCGATAACGTCAGCTGATTTTTCTAAAAAAATTTTTTTCGGAAACAAAAGAATAGGGGGGATAATCTAGAAATTTAAAATATGTATATATAATATAATTTACCCCCTGATTGACATTTGTTGATTGATTATTATTTATGGTATTGGATGATAAAAATATATAAATACATATATACATATAATAGTGTAAATTTTTGTTTATAATCATGCACATTCGTAAGATCAGCTGATACACGAATTTTCAAAAGGGTCAATGTTCATCCTGAATATTTAAACTATTTAAAATAAGGTTAATGATAGTCACTACCTTAAGGTATTACTTATCAAATTTATATTTTGTTTAGTTTTCATTTGGATAGGCACTACCAAATTTATTTATAATATATATTTGAAAAATCGTGATATTTGGAAAGCCTCTGTGGCCTAGTCGGCAAGAGGGTCGCTTACCAATCCCTACTCAGATGGTTATGGGTTCGAATCCCAGCGATGATCTTGTTTTTTAATCTAACTTGGTGGTTCCGTCCTTGATGGGATGATATATAGGAGTTCGGACTCGATCACGTGATTCCGTTATATTATATGCTAAATAATAAGGGGTCTTATTACACTTTAATAAATTGGCAGGTATTTAGCAAATTAGGTTGGTATTTTAGTAAATTGCTATACGTTGACTTGGTAATGACTATCATTGACCCTTAAAAACCATACCAACGTTCCAATTTTTTTTAATTCAATAATCGCGCAGCATCGATAGCGGTCCACGAGGGAGAGATTCCCCAAGGACTCATTTCCGAACTACACAGTATTATTACCGACGTAAAAGACAAGCGTGAATTATTTCTATTGGACGACGGAGATCTTACCAGGCGGTATTTGGGTTGCCCGTTCCCCAAAATAATTTAAAAAAAATAAAATATTTTCCCTAATATTTAATCGAAGAGTTATGGTGATTTCCAAGCCCAGGTTGGCTAGTTTTCCCTCTGATTTTTCTTTTCCATTTTTTTTACTGTCCTGAGCATCAATATTCGAAAGATTCAGGCTTCTCATATCCGCCGCTATCACATTTGTCCACGTCATCTTGGGCCTTCCTCTAGGTCTTGATCATTCTACTTCCATCAAGGTGCATCTCTTTACCCCAGTCATCTTTATCATACAAGATTTACCTCCACCACTTCCAATTTCCAATTTTAAGATCTAGTCAGATTATTTCAACTCACATGAGCGCTAACATAGGGAGTAAGGAAGCAGCTGCAAAACTACTAATAGGTCAGCCAAGATTATATTATACTAAACTTTAATAATGTAATTTTATTTTTTTAACATGTTTTTAAATTGAATTTATTATAAAAAAATTAATTTTAAAAATTAAATTTTTGTCGCCTCTCATTAAACCCTTAAGGAAAAACTGGAATCAATTTTTTTTAAAAAAAATATCTCGTATCACTAAACTCTCTAAGTCCAAATTACCCCTGGCTACGTAGATCATGTTGGAATTGGCATCCTCTTATCCGGGTGCCCATCAATGTCGGCTCTTCATTATACGAAAGTTCTAATATGCATTCCTTAAATAACCTTCAGCAAGCTAGCAGGAGATAATATAGGCAAAATTTATTATATTACATTTAACAAAGTACCGACCGAGTGCCGTAATTTTTTTGTTCCATATAAAAATGGCCATTATTTCTAAGTGGTGTTGTTATAAACGGCTCGTCTTGAGTCCGATTTTTAAAAACGGCTAACTCAATATTTTAGCCCAGAAAAATATTGCCTTATCAAGATTTCGATAATGTATGTCTAGGACCTTTGTTCCTTCTATAATCAAAATCTTCAGGCTTGCCTTGATATTTTTTTCTGGATGAAATACTGAGTTACCGGTTTTTAATCGGCTCAAAAATAACTTATTCATTCCCAACATATACATATATATATGAATAAAAACTAGATTAAAAAATATAAACTTTTGCCAAAGTTTATTGTCCAAAATTGATCAATAACTTTTTTCCTATATTATATTTTAATACTTTTAATGTTGATTTTTCTCATTTTAAACATTTGCGCAAAGTGGAGCATTCCAATTCTAGACAGACGGTACATAAGAACCACGTAATTTGAATTTTATTTAATTAAATAAAATAATATTTTCAAAAAATAAATAAATAAATTTTAAAACCGTATGAATCAATTACCGGTTTTGATATATACAACAAACCGGTTCTAGCCTTCTGGAATGCTTACTAGGGCTCAGTTAGAGTTATGGTGAGTTTTGTTAAAGGACCCTAACTTAAAAGTTTACCCGAAAAAAAGGATTGACTATGCCTCAGGATTTGGCTAATGGATGTTTAAGCCTTAGTTCCTATCTACGAGAAAAATCTTCAGGAATGCGTAAAATCGTCATGGATAAAACATTGAGTTAGCCGTTTTTATAAAATCGATTCAAACCGGGCCGTTTAAGCAACACTAGTTATGGGTTAAAAAAAAATTATAACCGTTTACTTCAGGTTTAATGTCGGTTTAGTTAGGCTCGATGAAATTTAAAGGGAAAAAACAATCTTTTTTTTGCAATTTCATAGTAAGGGATTTTGGTACTACTTTATAAAAAAAAAATGTAAGGTAAAGTAAAGTATACGTAATAGAGTTACTATTCAAAGTAACGCTAAATTTTACGAAGTCGCATTCATTTTTTTTTTTTTGATTAACGTTGACAAGTTCTACATTTTAACACATAATTAAAATCATTTAAAACATTGAAATCGGATTTATATATATATATACCCGCAGGCCCGGACCTAAACCCGGTCCCGGTCCGGGTTTTTTAAATTTACCCGGGCTGGGCCGGGCCTGAAATTTTTTTAAAAAAAATCCTGGTCGGGCCCTACAAATGGTACTTCTGCATGTATCTTATATATATATACTATAATTGGCATATCTTTCTAAATTTTAATTAACTGATAAAATGATGGAGAAATTAAAAATGAAATTTTTATAATTTGTTATGTTGAGAAATTCCTGAAAATCCCGAAAATATCCCAACTGTTCCCAATCCATCATTGAAATCTCAGCCATTCCCAAATTTAATAATGGCCTTCAAGGTTCCCAAGTAAGAGCATAATACTATTAGATATCCTGTTTTTTTTTAAACTTTATTAATTAGTAAATATATATTTCAAAAAAAAAAAGATTTAATTTATCTATAATTAAATTAGTGGTTGTTAAACGAGTCGATAGCCGGTTTTTAAAAAGGGCTAACTCAATATTTATCCAAAAAAAAACTTAATAACGTGAGCCTGAAGATTTTGGCTCATAGATGGGTCAAAAGTTTGGACATTTGTTAGCGAAAATCTCAGGACTTTTGGCAATATTTAATCTACTATCGGCTCAAATCAATCCATTTAAAACAACAACTATCAATTAATATATAACGAAAATTTACGAATTTATACGTATAAAAATTACGAAAACTTGGCGTGTTATAGGAAAAGATTTATATATATTTCATCTAATTAAAATAATCTTTATTTTTTTTTACCCTAGAAAATGAATAGATTCAATTGATATCCTTTTTTTTTTAAAAAATTTAAGTTATAATGATAAATTAATATACCCCTTGGTACAACATAATAGTATTAATTAAAATAGATTTAATCTCTTAACAATTGGTAATTAGTTCCACTTAGGTGTTCAATTATTCCATTTTATCGATCTTAATTATAAAAAAGAGAATAAAAGTCTTTTTAAAGAAATTCCTAAAAATAGATTGGTTTTATCACACAGAGCTCTCCTAAACGGGTCCAAAAAAGATGGTATACGATTTTAAAATGATCTTGGCCCTGGCCCCCGATTTAAATTATTTAAAAAAATTTAAAAATCCGGGAATTAAAAATCCGAATATTAAATCCGGGAGTTAAAAATCCGGAAATTAAACCGGTTTTTAAATTTTCAGGCCCGGCCTGGGTATTTAAAAAAATTTTAAGGCCCGACTTATGTACCCGGGTTGGGCTTAAGGGCAAGACCTGTAGGTCTCTAATATATATAAATAGTAAATGAGTTATTATTTTGAACATCAATAAATACGAAATATGTATTCATGGTGGTGCCATCGGGTCTCTTCCTTTTCAAGATAATATGATATTACACCTACAAACTGCCAAGATCTCTAACCTTTTTCCATCTTCTGAGCAATTAAAAAAAATAACAGTTTATTCTAGCATTGGCTTTGCAATATAGTTTTATCTTTAACAATTCTTTTAACGTCAGAGTTGAGGAATATGATTCGTAATACATCTCACTGCCGATTTTATTATAACTGCCAATCCCAGATATAAGACAAAATAACAAGATAATACTCAAAGCCCTAAGAAGAGAGTTTCCATGTATTCTGGCGCACGAAGGTTTCAATAATTAAGATTATAAGAGGCCAGATGGTTTAATCTTAATTCGATGGGAAAGGGGTATTCCACTTGCATTGGAATATTACAGTTGCGTAAACATACTCTTTAAATCTAGCATCCACGGAAACGCTCTTTCAATGACTGAAATCAATAAAACAAATAATGCCTCCACCAGGTCAAAATCAGCTGAATCAAGAATTTATCAGAGTGCGAGTAATAAATGCAAATGAGAAAATTTTTCTTTAGTCGTGTCGTAAATGAAGTGAAAGATTTTTATTAAAATGTATAAAAGCCACAGAAGGGCATTTAGAAAAAATATCTATTGGTGGCTTTTAAGCTATGGCCAATAACATTGAATACGGCTGACTTCAATATGTGCAGGGATCAGAAAGATCTTAAGATCTGCAAGAAAGATCTTATTTGTTAAGCTCTGGTATTTACACTAAAGTCATTAAAATTTTCTATCTATATTCATATCTCGCGTTATAACTTATTATCCCTCAGTTTTATCAAATCTATTTATAGCCTTTTTTTTTTTTACTAGACCGATATTTTAGTGTTTCCTTTGTTATTTAAAAAAAATACTATATTTAGGCTATGTTTTGGTCCGTCGTAATTCTAAACAATCGTGTGTATAGACGTCTA